AATAGTTGCTTCGGACCTTCGATGAATTGGCAGGATGGTGCACCAATCCCCGGGCATTCTGAATATCCTCTCACCTGCTCGGTTCATTCCGTAGAAGTGGGTGTGGTTTTTGTAACATATAGACCAGGAAAGGTCTGACCGATCGACGTAAACCTAAGTTTAGAAGTTGTTTTTCATACATTCTGCTGTATTTTCAGGCTAATCGAAGAATACATAGATGAAGGTGTAGACCTGATATTCTCAGAACGTCTTGAGAACTGGGAACTTGCGACAGAAACGTATTTAGTGAGAAAGTCACAGCGATCACTAAGCTTTTTGAAAGGTGAGCGATAAAAGTTGACTGAGTCCTGCTCTGAAAAGAAACTTTTTGGAAACCTTAAGCTTGAGGGTTCTTTTTTTGATATCCGACAGTTTCGAGGAGGGAACGATCTGGAGCGCGAGAGCCTCAATTTTGGATTCTCAGTAATTACTGTAAGGTCTACTCCCCTTCGTTAGCATGGGTAGAGTAAAAAAAGCCTGCCTCCCCTCTTGGTGGGCTTCTCTCGCAAAAAGTAGCGCTAACGAGTAAAGCGCAGTGGTGAGGTTAGCATCACCCATAAGCCCAGTAGAATATCCCTTTCAGCCGACATGTGAACGGCCAATGAAGACTTGCTGTTGGGAACACAAGAACAGTGTTTTACAGTGATGTCTGGACTAAGGAAAGCTCCGCTCCGCACCACAAAAATAGCGGAGTTTGTGTAGTGGAGGAGAGGGGGGAATCTTGTACAGAACCAGATTCCATCCTCGGGATTTGACAGCATCAAACCTCAGTTGTGCTAAGCTATTATAACGATCCATTCAGGACTCGCCGATTATCATTCTCGCGTACCGACAAGTCTTCATGATAAACCTAGCGCTATCATTCATGTGGGTAAACTTTACCGTATAGTTATCAATAAAAATCTTTGGTAACTCTGAAATTTACAAAGACTGCAAAAGCATAGCAACACGTTTTCAAGGAGTATCTTGCCGAGGTGTTTCCACCAACGAACAGCTCTGATATCGCAATCTGTCGTTGGATTGGTAGCAAACATCTCCTGACCAGACGGGATGACCTGTTATATCAGGCCTGTGTAAGGCGAGCATTGAACCCCTACAACCGATATTCGATAGGCGGTGTGAAAATCTTGCCCAAGGTATGTAAGCTGGCTTTGAGTGTTTTGAATTTTGCACGATTTATTTATACCAGTCGGATCGCCCGGCTGACGCCGAGCTCTCTTTAGCTCGGCTTCGCCGAGCTGGCCTGGCTTCGCCAGGCGCGCTCCATAATTTTAACGGAAACTTTTTCAATAGTGGGCTGCTCATACGGCGCTGTAGTATCATAGCAGATAGAGCAGGGCTTGGGATCTGTATAATGAATGGTGGTATTGAATAACCTTATGAATTATCATAAGGTTATTCAATACCACCATGATAAATTCTGTCTAAAGGAGCTCATCACTGCCCTAGATTTTCCTTTCCTTCTATTTTTTCCAAAGATCCCAGCAACAACATTTTGACCCATTGCCCGCGAGACGGCACTGTGCCCAGAAGACGGTTTTTTGGATCAAATTTCGCCCATGTTAATGAGTTGTTAATGTAAGCCGCTTGGGCGTCTACGATACGATGGATCCAGTGCGTAGTGTATTCCAAATCAGCTGATCAACGTTGATGACTTTCAGATTCGAAAAATGCACTCAACCTTCGCTACTTCTTAGTACACAGAAAATGAACCTGTACTTGTAAAGTCCCTTCAATAGTTCAGGCTTCCGGATGGGTACGAGAAAGTCGGTGGACGAATAGTAAATGGAGTTTAGAAGGAGGTTTCATGATGCAATATGGAAATGATTCCGATATGATGTCGAATTCCAACACACCAGTACCGTAAGTCGTCTTTATTCCAGTTTTCCACGCTTTTTTGAGAACTGTCTCGATTTTTGACCAGTGTTTCGACTTTCAAATAGATCTAAAGTGAGAGTGTTACGTGTATACTACTGCTACATATATTTCACTAAAATGGAAGCAAATGAAGACGAATGGTGGGAGGAAGGGAGGAGGGAAGCGAATCGCGAAGGGAATGTTCAGCAGTCATTACCACACTCTCCCCATCCTAGTGAGGCGTAATGTCCAGGCTGTGATGATGCGCACCAACTAGCTAGTATTTGCTAGTTGACTCGACAGATCACAGCACTTTCATATTGAATCGCTTGCGTCCTAGTTCTTGCGAATCCAATGCACTCGACACAAAATTCCAAATCATTTCGCAGCCTTGCTACCATTTGCCGCAACATGGATGTAAAAACGCGCATTCGTTTTCGTCTCTTAAAAGCACTTTGTGGTATGCCCCCCCCCTAAGGTTGCCACACCGAACAAAAATCGATCACGGATCACCTCATGCATGAAAGGTTCGCTCGCTCGTAAATGTCAAGAAGAGCAGAAGTTCCTACTTTTTTGTCCACGGCCTTCGAAAATTTTTTACTATGATTTCTGAAATATTTGCAGATTAAGCTCATCATCGCGGACAAAGTGGTACTACCCTTTTAACGGCCCCATCGATATTATGCGATGTCGTGACGGGTGAGGGAGTTTTACTGTGTTTCATAATTTGATTCCTAACATTCAACTAGACGATATCGCGTACTATTTGAAAAGTTAGCCCACAGTTTGCCCATTTAGGCCTATTTTCGATGATGAGTTCTTTTTAAGTGAATTTCACGGCAATAAATGGCAGCTGGTGACCTACAATTACAATCACGCTCCACGATGAAGGGAGTCGAAACTACCATTCTGTCTCTCATTGGTCCACCCATTTACCTAAAGAGGATAAAAGAGTAATGCCGTAGGCTGTGATCAGCCTCATTTTGAGATGCGCCATCGCATTCGTTCTCTATTGGAAATTGTAGTAACGTTTGAATATTAATTCTTCTAAAATGAAGACCTGTGAGGTTAGTGAGCTCGCTATAAAATCCTCACCCTCAAAGATCCGTTCGGTACTGAACTCTGCTAGAAGCACTGCTTGGCATGAGAAAGATTTGATCTATTCAATCAAAGCTCTCTGTATAGATTATGCATGTGATGGTAGTGTCATGTTGCAAAGTGCCTCAGTTTCACCATAAAATATTGTTTCGACGCTACTGCCATGCTCGTCTTATGGGGAGGGGAGGGGAGGGAGCAGCGTCCCTAAGTCACTGACGTCCTTCTTGCCACCTCAGTATAGTCGTCCTGAGCAGAATAAAGCCAGGGTAACATGTCGTCGTCCTACTGCTGTCCTACCTCCGCCTAAATGAAATTGCCTATGTATGTATTTACCGCTTACTGTATACGGCGGCTGACTGAAGAAACCTCACTGGCCTCTCATCTTGTGAATGAAAATGTTCCATCGATGGATGAATCCATTACTGTCTGTTCACAGTAAAAGGATAAAGTGGATAAAGTCTTCGCCGTTGATCAATCCCTTTGTGGGATGCGGCACGCATTCTACTTCCATTCAGAATCGTAGTGGCTTATTGAATGCGATGTGGCCTATACAATGACTTGCGGGGGCCAGCCGATGTACAGAGGAGCCCAAAAAAAGAT